TACGCTGGAAAAATTATATAGGAAACTCTAAAATATAGAAAAATTGAGATTTAACAACAAATTGTGACAATAGAATTGTGAAGATTTTTCTTTCTACCAAAAAAGACACAAAAAACATGTCACAGCCTTGTATTACCACAAAATTTGTCACAACCATATCCAACGCACACTTTTGGAGACAAATCATCGCTATGATCGAGCTGAATTATCTACACAAAAACTCATTACTCGTAATTAAGTACTAATGTTCAGCGTATAGCAAAATTATAAACAAAATAATCTATCTAGTTATTATAAATCGAACAAAAAAACTTTCTTTTGACTCTTTAAAAGCAACGCGGTCTACAGAGCTAATGTAGGTCGCAATAATGCACTGAATGCAATAATGGAAACATGTTCAAACAATCATACATTTCTTTTTGGACTCTATCTGAAAATCAGTTATGGCAACTGTCATTACCATACCGTGGCACAACCGTATCCCGTATCCAGTCTTTCCTATATGGTCCAGCAGAATAATGGATGAATTTCCGACGACCATTATTTCTATATGGATGGAGGTGAAAAAATGTATTGATGCTTTGAGTGACAAATTACTAAAGTTTTAGTAGCTAATAATTTCAAAGACGTGCGTGTCGGGTCATTCTTCGATGGTGTTTGCATTTTTGAGCATGGGAACCTTCGAGCAACCTAAATTGGAGCAATAAGACCGGGATCACAGATCACATAAAAGCAGATGTTTCCCGGCTGCTTTATTTCACCAGCGCTTTCAACCGATCTAATGCCGTGTGATTTTTGTCTTTGGGCCACCCTGATAAAAAGAGTGTACACTAATTGTCCTTTATCCATCTATGCCTCAAAAGAAGCAATCACTGACCAAAATGGCAAAGATACCGCCTGAAATGACAACAGATGATATGAAAAACTTCAGGGATCAACTAACCCTCTGTATCGCAAATAAGGGACACCATTTGGAAGATATTATTCTTCATGAATAAACTTTAATATATTGTAAACATTTAGCAATACACAAGCTTTTGGTTGATGTGGTTATTTAATATTTATAGTTCTTGGAAATCTATCCGTTATTTCTGCCGTTACATTTTCCCAAATTACTACTATACTATTTAACTATTAAAACGAATTCATTGGTTGTTTGAACGATGTATGTCATTTGCAACTCATTATCAAATCAGGTTAAAATAAACGAAAACAAATTCAAAATAATAAAATCAAGTAAATAAATTAAATCTCAATAAGTAGTCCTCAAGTGTGCACTTATTAAGCTCTGATAAATTTCAACGGATGAAACGCCCCTGATAATATAATATAATATACTAAATAGTTTATACAAAAAACAGAAACAGATAAAGAAATAAAAACCATGATTTGTGATTATCGAAATTACAAAATTATATTAGCAAAACGTATAGATTCATGGGACCGAAATCTTTAATAATAAGTTGAATATTTACCCGTCTATAACCAAATTGCACAAAAACGATTAAAATCAAATTTGAAAACTTATTTAAAATTATTCTCATAAAAAATTAGCTATTTAAATAAAATACAAATTCCCGTCATAATATTAACAATAATGAATTATATTTCTTAGAATTACGTAAGCCGATCACATATAAAACATACTGATTATGAGGCTGAAAAATTAATTCCATGTTAAATTCTCAATATAATAAAAATATTTAAAAAAGTTTAGTTATTCTTCAAATAAATTGACTGGAATGTATTTTTTTAAGATAAATTAGGTTGATGCAAATTAGGGTAATTAATGTAAGTATTCTTTTATTTAATGATTTCGTTTACAAGTTTAAATGCAAATTATTTGTAAGTAAATCATGTGTTTCGTTTAATGTTGTGGCTAGTAAAACTATTATAAATTGAGTCTTATCATTAACAAAACTTAAAACTACACAAGCGTTAATACATTATTCATCTGTTAATCTATTATCTAATTATATATATGAATAAAACCTTATTGTTAATTAAGGTAACCATCCGTCGCGGACAGGTCTGAATTTCTACCTTGCGTCCCAGATCATTCTTGGAGCAATATTTATCCCGCAATCAGGATTTTTTCGTATATGAATCACCCGATTTCCATAATTTAGGAAACATTCGATTCGTACTGATAAGGAGACGTGCTGATTAGTTTTTCGCACAGGCAGGTCCAGCCGTTTCGAAGATATGGGACAAAATGTGCAAAAAAATGGCAATTCTGTTTCTGAGAGAACGGAGCGACCGTATTGAAATTATTCAAAAATCATTTCATTTGTATTGACGCCATGAAGAATTGAATCGCTGCAAGCCAGGTCCAGCGGTTTCGGAGATCCAACAAAAAAAAGTTTTAAAAAATGTCATTTAGCGGTCAAAATTTATCATTAGCCATATGTACATATAATTATCAAATATTTTATAGAAATTTTAATAATAAGTACAAAATTTCTTTACATTTCCGTACCAAGATTTATAATGTTAGAGTGCAACGCGGCGTTCAGGCGCTTCGATATTTCGTCTCTAAAACAGCTACGCAGCGCGATCGCTTCTAAAAAATTCTAAACTTTCAAAAAAAATGATGCTTATAATTTTTAAAGGTACGAAATGCCATGCACCACTAATTTTAAATATTTTTTAACTAAAATTTTTAACTAACATTACGAAATACGCGACACGCTATAAGTCTGAATTTCAAAAGTGAGTTGAATTGGTCAATGACATTATTCGTAAACTACCACCGAAAATTACGAGAAGTAGTAGAATTTTTTGTTGACCGCGTGTGACAAATACTTTACGATAAGAATTTTTTCATTAATGAATAGGTTGTAGACAAGTGACAAAATTTGATTTGCAATGAACACTGGAAAAACGATATTTTTACTAATATAAGTTAAAAAGCGAATAAAAAGATCATAGGTCATAAAAATATAAAAAGTTCTGCACCCAGTAATTGTGATTAACCATATTTAAGTTATTTAATATAACTCCCCAACCTGCTACAAGGTCACATCACCAGTAGCTCATTATTCAAACCTTAGAGAATTTTCATGATTATGCCACTTTACGTAAGCCTATAAATTTAGGATGTTTCAATAAAATCGTCAAAAAAAATTACAATTAATTACGAAGAAACGGCTCTGGCAAAAACTAAACAGAACGACTTTCTATTGATATTTCCCAAAAAGTTGTTGATTTTTTTTGTCGAAAAATTTTGCGCTTATCTGTTAATTATAAAAAAATGGCTCAACCGAACGTCGCACTAATCAACACGATCCTTATTGATGTTCATCAACTGGATTTTAAATTTTTAAAATCGGTGCAGCTCTTCTTGAGTCTACAAAAAAATGCATATATACATTCATTTACTTATACTTTCCGGAGGAGTTTATGGTTTAGCGAAAAAAAACGATTTGATAATTTTATGTTTTCTCGACGATTCAAGTCATTATGAATTAAACGAGACCAAATTTGAAAAAAGACCATGTGTGTATGTATGTGAGCCAAAATTAGTTCTTACGTCCACGTTTTCTCAAAAACGGCTGGGTCAAAATAAAAAGCTCTTCGACGTATCCCGATAAGGAATATCGTGTTGCACGACGATCAGCCAAGTTGTTTCTTTGCAATAGACACAAAATTGTAAAGTTGTTCGCCTACGTTTTAGACCACAACCTTGAATCGATTTAAAAAAATCAAAAACTGATCGGTTGGGAATTGCGTTGCTTGGTTTTTGGTAAAAATCGGCCGGGCCGTTTCTCCGTATGTTGAAACATTTCTTTTTGATGATTCTAATGAAACTTTGTAATACAATAGATTTATCGTAGTCAGAAATAACATACTAAAATATCATGGGCTTACGATAAGCGATTGAAGTATAAAATTTCATCAAAGTTCAGAATTTTGCCGTTTGGGAGAGCAATTCTAATCAGAATCTATGCCGAAGCATCTGTACGTCCTGTGATGTTTCGTAGGTAGCTTAAAACCCAAAATGGATAGAATGAAATCTGTTAAAACAATTTAATTTATATAATTAGAGATATTATAAGTATGTTTCAAGCATATCAATTGAAAATCTTCAATCAATTTTTTAATGAAAGCGAAATCTTTATTCTCGATAAATTGAATATTTTATCTAAATAGCTAATTCTTGTTGATAAAGTCGATTATTTACCCGTATTATTAAGAAAAGTTCCTGCAATTTGCCTTAAGGCACAATGCTACTTACAACTAGTAGTTTAATTTTGATGTTAAATGGTTTAAAATAACTTGAAATGTCGAGAGAACATAAAATTGTAAAAAAAATAGATTTTCATTTTTTTTAACTTTATAGACCGCTCGTTGCCGGTCAATAGACTATGGCAATCAAAAAGCCGATTGATAGGCTAGCACTACAGTAGTGGATAAAATGCGGATATTTATTTTTTGAACGGAATATTCCATCGGTTTGCCTTAAAATACAATGGTGCAAGTAAACATGAAATTCTATTATATAAAATTTTCCAATTCCCTGGCGACACTCTTGAAACTGTGTTTATTTATTTTTTATCAATTTACTTACTCAAGATTTTATGGTTTATACTTATACATTTTAGGATAGGCTCATAAAACTTATAAAGATTTAAAGATATTATGCCATCGACATAAAAATTAGTTTGAAGTTTTGTTAAACAAATAATAATACTCTTAATTTCTATTTTAAATGTAGATATTTACGTTCAATGACGTCGAGGAAAGAAAAAGTTTCAATGAACGAATAAAATTTGTAATAATAGTATTATCACTTAATTTTGATTGTACTCGGCTTATTACACCGAGCATTCCAGAGATCCATTAACGTAATTCGACGTGTGGGTAATATGCAAAATAGTTTATTGTATTTTAAAATCTGATGTTTATTCATTTGAAATAATACGATTGATCAAATGTTATAAATCCGCCAAAGAGCCCGCACTGAGAGGCATTTGGTTGGTGGTCGTCGTTCGGTTAGTTGCACACGTGCGTTTAGTGCTTTTCCAAAATCTTGCATTATTTTCTAATAAAGTTTGAAAATAGTTTTCTCCACCTTTTGCTTAAGTTACTCTCGTTTTAGTGTCATATTAAAAGTGTTAACATATTAGGTGAGTGCCAATAATTAAAATGTGAATTTGAGAATGGACATCATAACCTGACGTACAGTTTTAATTTCTAAACTCTCAACTTGTTGATTAATACTAAAAACTTAATTTTGTGAAAATAACGTCATTTAAATAACAATAATACTTCATATAAACAAATACAAAATTAAATGTTATCTATATACAAAATCAAATTATGTATATATACATACATGCATACACACACACATATATATACATATATATATATATATATATATATATATATGCATATATATATATATATATATATATATATATACCTTTAAGTCGATATCGCATTATTAGATTAGGAATATAGTATTAATATTGTGTGAACTTTATATTCCTACGGTTTACCCTATCGTTCATTTAGTTTAAATATTGTTAAAACATAAAATAGAAAGTTATTTTTAGTATATAAAGATGAATGTTTGTTTGTATTCCTTTCCATACTTGATTAAAATTAATGAATTGAGCTTGATAATCTAAACTACAAAAGGCGGTTAATTTAAATATCACTCACAATTAAAGCATTATTTAATAAATTTTTTAGTTATTGATTTAATAATAAACCTGGTATAATTATATCTTTCAAGAGCTGAATTGAAAATACATTACAAAATTTATTAAATTTAATTTATAATAAAGTAAAAATTAAAATATATTTAATTATTAAATGTTTTTTGGGAAATGGTACTAAATAAAGAAAAAATGGTTAAAACGGTTCTCCTTAAACTGTAACCATCAAAATAACTGTAAAATTTAATTTGAGGTCGAATATTCAGATATTCAAATGCATTTATGTTTGCAGATTACCTAAGGGCAATGAGAAGTATATATATTAGCAAATTACAGCTGATATATACAAAAAATATCAATAGATCATTTGATTGAAACTCAATAGTCATTAAAGGTAAAAAAGGGCAGGAAACAACAGAAATTATAAGATTTTAATTATCGTCGAGAAAAATTACTAGATCTGAAATTTTGTCGCCTTTCTTAATTTTTTTTCCAATTTTTTTCCATTTGATCCCCAGTTTGACTTCACATTCATAACCAGCGGTAAAGCTACATTAGAAAACATGTGCCGCACATCCAGTACAGACAACTTTTTTTGTAGATCTGTATTATTTTTTATTCTGAAATAATGATAATATATTGAAATAATTATCTTTATTAGTCTGACAATGGCGCCACCAGCTGCTGTAGATTTACAGAACGCACCCTCTTCAGGAATGGACCGTGCGTTGGCGGCCGGCATCAGGCTGTCCAGCCCGGAACCAGGCGAAGAAGTAGTCATTACCGGATTGTCGGGGCAGTTCCCCGAAAGCGACAATGTCTACGAATTTCGTGACAAACTGTTGAATAAGGTAAACACTATTATGGATATAGTACAAAATTTAAATATGGAAGTTAATTATGTAGATTGGTAAATAACATTTTTTATTATTATCATATATATATATATATATATATATATATATATATATATATTCCTAGAACTTGTTTTCATAAATGAAAATTTTAATATATGAAAATTTTGCAAAATATGATCAATAATTATAAGCTGACCCAGGACGCGTTGATTCATCATCAATTTGTGACATTTATTAAATAATAAATTATTATTATTTTTATAATACTAATTCAATTTGTTGAAATTTATTAATTTGATGATAATTGGATAGTAATTCTAATTGTTCATTTTATAATTCCAAATTTGTAGATTTACATTTACTATATTGAATTCAAATATTGTATTTTTAATTTATAGTTAAAAAAGTGTCTTTTTGACAAAAATAAAAAATTAAAATATATTTCACGATTCTTTCATGAATAGCTAATAAAATACAAAATAATTTAAAGCTTTCTTCAAATAATGGCGTGTGAATGCAATGTCAAGTTCTTTGTCATTCGATTCTGTTTTGCATATAAGTTAAAACAATTCCTAAAAGGTGTTGTTGACCTCTCTTATTCTTTATCGGTTAGTTACATTACAATAATAAGTTCAGAGGTTTCTATTAGAATAATTAACGAATTTAATTGTCCCAAATAAAAAAGTCTCCACTGTACATACATTTGCAATAAAAAAATAATAAACATACAAAAACAAAAGAAAATTATACACCGTTATAGAAAAGCAAACATGGAAATTTTAATTTTAAAAATAGAAAGTCATGTAACTCAGTGTCTTCTAGGGTATTTCAGTACGCTGATGAGTAATATATAAAATTACTTTTGATCTCAGTTTTTTATTTTTTCATTTTAATTTTCTAAATGTATAGAAAATATTAATTTATTTACAGAAAGCATTTCAATCAATCTTTTTGTAAATATGTATTTGTTAATCAAAATCTCATTATTTGCAATCTTTTAACAAATAATAAAATCATTACCTTTACGATAGGTTTAGCTGACTGTATGTGATAATTTTATAGCTTTTCAACATTTAATCTTGATAATATTTACTAATAAAATAATAGGTGTGTCAAGCCAATGATTAAATTTGTAAACTTTCAGGAATCCCCACATAAATTTTTAGTATTAACTTTATTGGTATAAACATTTTGTATTTGATAGACAGGATATGACATAACTAATTATCATATAGCACAATGAAAAATTCCTATTTGTGAATAACTTTCTTCCAAACTATTTGTGGAAAATTTTAATTCCGTATTTTTAAAATATAATTAGTTCATTTTGAACGTGGATTCACATTTGCATATAATATGGGCATAAAGCTTGCGTCAAATATTTATAACAATAATTGTAAATTTGAATCAATTTTATGCAAATTTCGATTATGATATTGATCTAATTGTATGCACATATTGATCAATACCTTTGATTCCAAGTTCATACAATGTTAATAATAAATATTCATTGAAGTGATATTAGAATATTAATTATTTATTTTGCGTTTAAATAAATATTAGTTTAAAGTTAAAAAAAATCTAAAAAATATGAATTAATTAAATATTTATCATTTATTTTTTGCAAAAAGGTTGATTTAGTAACCGACGACAACAGACGATGGGCCAAAGACCACCCGGAAATTCCGCAACGTACCGGAAAGATTAACAATGCGCAAAAGTTCGATGCGAGCTTTTTCGGTGTCCATTATAAGCAAGCTCACACCATGGACCCAATGTGTCGTATGCTGATGGAAAAAGCTTACGAGGCAGTTGTTGATGCCGGTAAATAACATTTCAAATTACTCCAAATAAATTCTAATTAATATAATTAGCTGATCACTATAGATCACAACAAAAAAATAGTTATTTATTAATTAATTAATTAATAAATAGTTTTTAAATTTTTGAATTATCAATTATGAAGAAAATGGTTCATTTAAACAAACAAATTCAAAAAACAAAATGGTTCAAACCGACTAATAAGGAGTCCCGGATTTCCACCTTGTGTCCTGGATTTTTCTGAAAGCAATATTTGTGCGAGATTCATATCTTTTATTCCAGGCTTTCGAAATGTATAGATTTAAATTGATTCTTTGCAATTACTTGATAAGAAAATTACAACTATCCATTAAATATCTGAAAATAATATTTACAACAATAATAAACTTAAAATGACGAGCAGAGCCCGCGTGCGATTGCTAGGCCAAAAGTGAATATTACGGGCATAGCCCGCGTACGATATTTGGGCCAGAAGCAAATGTTACGCATTACGGGCATGGCCCGATGTGCTGAACGCTAGTATTACAAAATATTTATTCATACGAAATTATAAAACACAAAATTATTTTTATTTTTGTGATAAACCGTACACTATGAGGGAAAATAGTCACAAACGCCGCACCAGCTTGAACAACTTTGGCCCGACATTTTCGAATCTAAATCGTAAGATAAGGGGTTAAGGCAAATTGCTGGAACTTCCCGTACGAAATGTTCAAGGAATTTTGAATGTTTTCAAATAGATTATTATAAATAAATTATATAAACTGAATTGCAAAGTTGATATTATTTGTTTAAAGTATATTAGAACTATAGTCAGAATTAAAAATAAAATCTGAATTATTTTCGATATACAAAAAAAAATTTTCTTGAAAAAAAAACAGTTGAAACAAAATTTTTTTTTCCCAAAATCAATTATTTTGTTAAGACAAGCAGAAAGGTCTTTAAATCTTTTAAATCGGACGCTTAGTTCTCTCAAAAACTGCCATTTTTTACACATTTAGCTCCGTATCTTCAAAATAGCTGGGTCTGCCTTTGCCAAAAACTAATAAACACTTCTCCCAATCATTACTAAATGAATGTTTTTCAGATCATTCAAATCGGATGCTCCGTTCTTTCAAAAACTCGATTTCTATTTTGTGCACTCTTTGCTCTTTATCTCCGTAACTGCTGGACCTGCCTTTGCCAAAAACTAATCAGCACATCTCTCTATCAATAGGAATCGAATGTTTTCTGAATCATTCAAATCGGTTGATCCGTGCGCCCGATAACGTGACTGGAAATTTGTATCCATACATACGTACACACACACACACATTCATTTTTTCTAAGGTATGATAAAAAGTTCAGAAACCTTCAAAACGTCGAGAAATGTAAAAATTTTCAATTTCAATTTTCGGCCCATTACAATAAGTTACCCTACGGGAAGTTAAAAAAAATCGTCTTTTTGGCACAAGTGCTAATTTTGTACTGAGTTAATTAAACTAAGACCATTGAACAAAATTTTATACTAGGCTTAAAAGCAAAAAAAGATACAGATCGAAAAATAGATAAAGATATAATATAACAAATAATGAAGTCTTAAGTCTGTAATTCTGAAAAAAATGATTCAATTAAAAAAACTTAGAACGTCTGAAATTCAGAAAAAAATTGATCATTTTCATTGTATACTTAATTAATATTTGCTATTTTAATTCATATTTAAGTTATTCAGATTTTTGCTAAGAATAAAGTGATCAGATTCTTATATAATTAATAAATTTATTAATAATTTATATAACTACCAATCATACTAATCAATGCGCACTAATGAGTTGTATTGGCTATAAAAATCTTAATGGTTTCCATTATCAAAGAATTTGTAAATAATCATAAATATTATTAGGATTAAATCCTCGTCAACTCAGAGGAACCAAAACAGGAGTATTTGTTGGTGCTTGCTTCTCAGAGTCTGAGAAAACTTGGTTTTATGAAAAGCTGCAGGTCAACGGTTTTGGTATTACAGGGTAAGTAAAAAGAAACTTTTACAATGATACTAAAATGCAATTTTATGATTTAACTGATTAATTTAAAGCATTTGTTAAATGTGGAAGGCAATCAAATCTTGCGATTAAATATTTGTCATATTTTTACAATTTGGATTAAATGTGCCAACTTTTGATGGAACTTGCCAACATATTTTAGTACATTTTTTTTCAAATTAAAAAAATTCATAGTTCAACAAAAATTCTTAATTCTGAAAAACATGTGGCAATTGTGGTATTTTTTTTTACTGCGGTCCTAGAAATATTATTCACGGTTACGGTTCCAGAGTTTGAATGAACAAAATTAATAAAAGTTTACCACAATAACTGAACAATGATCATAATTTTAATAAAGCTGTAGATTGAATTTAAAAGCTCATCAAAAGCTCAAGCTCCAAACAGCATAAGATAATCTCTTATTCTAAATTTTTTCGCGACAGTTTAAGGTCAATACTATCACACCGTTTCGGCTTGTCGTCAAGATCTGGGATACCGTGTATATAATACAAACGCATAAATATTTTACACATTTTGAAATCCATGATTGAAAATAAGAGTCTGTTTTAACGCATATGAACCCGAAAAATTTACAGATGCAGCAGAGCTATGTTATCTAACCGAATTTCCTACTGGTTGGGAACGAACGGTCCATCCTATACTATCGACACTGCCTGCTCCAGTTCATTGTATGCCTTGGAGCATGCCTACAAAGCCATAAGAGAGGGACACTGCGATGCCGCTTTGGTCGGAGGGTGTAATTTGTGCCTTCACCCTCTAGTATCATTGCAATTCTACAAGTTAGTAAATGAACAAAATTTACATTAATTCTCCTCAAGTCCTTAGTGTTATTTTTCTTTATTAAATAATTTTATTAAACTAAAACCATTTTAAATAGTTTGTGACAAAGTTTTGAAAATAGAACTTTTTATTTATATCAGATTAGGAGTATTATCGCCCGAAGGAAAATGTAGAACATTTGACGCCAACGGTACTGGATATGCAAGATCTGAGGCTGTTAGTTTCGTTCTCCTACAAAAGGTACAGTTTTCTAAATATCATATAACATTAGACATTTTTAAATAATACTAATTTAATTATTCTATAGTCAAAGGATGCAAAACGTATTTACTGCCGAATGATTCACGGAAAAACTAACTGTGATGGATTCAAAGAACAAGGTATAACTTTCCCATCAACTGAACTACAAGCTCGCCTCATGGGCGACTTTTATCGTGAGTGCCGCTATAAGCCAAGTGAATTGGCCTACCTTGAGGCTCATGGCACAGGTGAGAATATTGGTTGATAGTATAATTATATTATTCAGTTTGCGTAAAGTATATTCACACTATCAAATTAATTATAATTATAAATATTGCACATTGTTTTACAGGAACACCCATAGGCGATCCCGCTGAAGGTTTGGCAATAGAGAATGTATTTTTGGAAGGGCGTACCAAGCCTTTGCTTGTCGGCTCAGTCAAGTCTAACATGGGCCATTCTGAACCGGCATCGGGTCTTTGTTCCATTGCTAAGGTAGTTAAAACATTTTTGCTTAATTTTTATATTAACTTAGTTGTTATAGTAATATGATATTTGCGCAAAATAAAATATGTCGTTATAGAAATGATATATTATTTGAATCCCCTATTCTATTATTACAATTTCAGATAATCATCGCATTTGAAACCGGAATCATTCCTCCAAATTTACATTATGAAAAACCACGTCCAGGTATGAAAGCCATAGAAGATGGTAGAATGAAAGTTGTTTCTGAGAAAACTCCCTTGGAAGGAGATTTAATTGCTTGTAATTCATTTGGTTTCGGAGGAGCTAACTGTCACGTGCTGTTAGAAAGAAATAAGAAGCAAAAAGTACATATCTGCAATTTACGAAAATCAAATTCATTCATAATATAATTATAATTTTAAATTTATAATTTAAATTTTACAGATTAACAAAGGACAGCCAGCAGACGATTTGCCACGCATTTTTGCTGTTTCCGGAAGAACTGAAGAAGCAATAAGCACAATTTTGGATGACTTGGAAATACGACCATTAGATGCTGAATACGCCAGACTAATCCATGATATCCATTCTGAAGACATTCCTGGACACGTATACCGCGGTTATTCTCTGATGGGTAAAAATACTAAATAAGCGACTTGAAATACGCTTTCCATAATGTAGATTTTTATTTTAATATGTGTCGTTTATAGAGTGCGGCAAGGATGGTGGTAACGGCGTTAAATTATCCAGAGATTGCATGTACTTCTCTGGAGCTCGTAGACCCGTCTGTTTCGTATTCAGCGGCATGGGATCGCAATGGGCTGGAATGGGAGCACAACTCATGCGTCTTCCTATCTTTGCTGCAGCTATTCAAAAGTATGAAGCGATTACGATTGCTGCAAATTTCATAGAATTTATGGTACACTGGATCATACATTTCTCTATTCCTCAGATGTCATAAAGTACTCGAACCTCGCGGCGTAAACTTGACTGAAATTATTACAAACCCAGACCCCAAAATATTTGATAATATTTTACATTCTTTTGTGGGAATAGCAGCTGTGCAAGTAGGACTCTGTGATGTGTTGAAAGCTCTGGAAATTGTTCCTGATATAATTATAGGTAATTAAATCATATTAAATAAAATGATATAGAAGATAAAACACATCAAATAATCCAGAAAATTACGTTTCCCCTAGTTTATAAATTATTTCGAATAAAGTATTTCGAAAGCCTATATGGTAGCTATCATATAAAATATTTTGATAAATATCGAGTACAAAGAAAAATGAGGAAAAATTAACTCGTTGAATTGTGTCCAAAGACTAAAAAAATCAGATTTTGAACTTTCTGAAAATAATTTAAATGTAGCACCGTAAAAAATTTATATTCAGACTTAAACATCTTTATTTCTAAATAGATATAAAAGTACTTTTAGAACATAATACAAGTAAAATATATAAACATTTTATCAGGACACTCTGTTGGCGAATTGGGCTGCGCATATGCCGATGGATGTTTCACAGCGGAAGAAATGGTACTGTCAGCATATTCAAGAGGATTGGCTAGTATTGAAACAGAATTGATAAAAGGATCAATGGCTGCAGTTGGAGTCGGGTACAAAACGGTACTTAATGAAGAAAATAGCAATACACAATTATCTGAAAATACTGCATTTAAGCTATATAAACTTTGTTTTCTTTGCAGATCAAAGATTTATGTCCGCCAGGTATAGAAGTAGCTTGTCATAATGGTCCTGACAGCAGTACAATATCTGGACCAGCAGAGCAAATGAAAGATTTTGTTGCACAACTGCAAGCTAAGGGCATATTTGCAAGGGAAGTCCCTTGTTCAAACATCGCATACCATTCCAAATATATTGCATCAGCTGGTAGGATTTTTATTTTAGAATAACTTAAATTATACGCGATATAAAATAAGTCTAATTGAAATATGGTAAATTCATAGGACCTACATTACTTAAATATTTGAAGCAAGTTATACCAGAACCGAAACTGCGCTCACCCAAATGGTTGTCAAGTAGCGTTCCTAAAGATAAATGGGATGAACCACAAGCCAAATATAGTTCACCAGAATACCATACCAATAACTTACTGAGTGCTGTATTGTTTGAAGAAACATCAAGGTGCGTAATAATTGGAATCTTATTTTAGCATGTTTAATTTTTATCAGTAATAAATAGTACATAATATTACCTTTACGCACAGATTAATTCCATCAAATGCTATTACGGTTGAGATTGCTCCGCATGGTCTCCTTCAAGCCATCTTAAAGAGAAGTCTTAAGAAAGACGTAACAAATATTGCTTTGACAAGACGGGGTGACAAAGATAATATACAAGTCCTATTTAATGGCATCGGAAAGTAAGTTTTTTTCATAAAATTTGTATTAACTATTCTAGTGAACAACTATTCTCTTTAAAAAACATATAAATTGTTTATTATAGGTTATTTGAAGTAGGATTGAATCCAAAAATATCTGTACTTTATCCAGAAGTTAAATTTCCAGTTTCACGTGGAACACCTATGATATCACCACTGATTAAATGGGAACATTCAGATGACTGGTATGTTTTGTAAAAATATATCTATTAAATATTATTTTGCAAGAAATACCATAAAATCGATCGAATATTTATTATCTACAGGTACCTAATTAAATATTGCACACAAGAAAAAATCAGATCAGGTGAACGAACAGTAACTATTTCTGCAGAAACAGAAGACTTTAAATACTTGAAAGGACACGTTATTGACGGTAGATGAAATTACTTTTAAAACATAATACAATTTTAGTATATGAAACAAAATCACTGTATTCATATTTATCCTATGCAGGCCGCAATCTCTTCCCAGCTACGGGATACCTGCATCTTGTGTGGGAATCATTAGCTCTGATGAGAAATGAAACACCTGAGGGATATAGTGTAATATTTGAAAATGTTAAATTTTTGCGTGCTACAAACATTCCTACAGGAGCAGAAAATTTACAATTGATCGTTATGATTCAAAGAGGCACCGGCAATTTTGAGGTATAGATTTTTTAACTGATCCAAATATTGGATTATTTAATGATATATAGGAATCATATAGAAATTCATGCACAGAAAATGAGACTATTGATTTGTTTAATGTAGATTATTGAAGGAAATGCAGCCGTTGTATCAGGGCGCGTTCGTAGCGTAGAAGATGATGAAGTAGGCTCAGTTGATTTAGAACCATTACCTAATAAAGATTCAGCCGATGAAATGATGTTGAAGTCGAAAGATATATATAAAGAGCTACGATTAAGAGGCTACAATTACAAGTAATTATATCGCATTTAATAATACATTGAAAACCGATTTCAAAAATGTATAAATATATCAACAGTGCTTTCGAATACCTTATTGATTAGCGACTCTCAATATTGAGAGCGGGATCAGTTTCATATCACATGTAACACACACATACACATATACGAGGTGTGTTCAAAAAGTACCCGGAATTACTAATAATTAAATTTCGCGGGTCTGGAGTGTCTGATTGTCAAAATTTTTTTTTATTGTGTTGGTATACATGCCCCTAAAGTATGATGAAATTTTCAGCTATATTCACTGTTTACTTTGTCTGTGGTAGTCGCTAAGGTTCGACGTGTTTTTCTGAGCTCGGCGATTTTTACAATGGAAGAATTGAAAAGTCAAAGAATTTGTATTAAATTTTGCGTAAAAAATGAAATAAAGTGTTGCAAAGTGCAAAAATTCACCAGATATGGCTCCGTGTGACTTTTTCCTATTCCCAAAGTTGAAGAGACCCATGAAAGGACGGCGGTTTTCCTCGATTGAAGAAAATCGCTGAGAGTGCTCAAGGACATATCAAAAAGTGAATATCAAGGGTGCTTCGAAAATTGGAAAAAACGCTGGCATAAGTGTATTATATCTGGGGGGGACTACTTTGAAGGGGACCACATTAATGTAGACGAATAAATAAATATTTTTTTGAAAAAACGAAAATTCCGGGTACTTTTTGAACAGACCTCGTATACAATTCTTATATGTTATATGTTTATAAACTCTCATATTTGGTTTTATCTTCAACAATAGTGGATTGTTCCGCGGAATGGTAAGCGCCAATAGCCGCGGAACTGAATGCCGCATAAAGTGGTCGAAGAACTATACCGCCTTCATGGACAACATGCTTCAACTGCAACTTTTAGGTAAAGATACAAGGGATTTATACGTACCCACTGAGATTCAAAGACTGACTATAGATGTGCCAAAACACACCAAGTTTGTTGAAGATTTGCCGGAAGATGAAGCATTAGAAGTGCATTACTATCCGGAACTTGGTATACTGAAGTAAGTAATATGAATAATTGCACTCGATATCAAATATACCAAATGTTATTGAATAAACAAACAATTTATTATTTAAATTTTTATCCTTGAAATTTGATACCTTTTTGCAGAGGCGGTGGCATTGAAATCAGAGGACTGACCGCTAGATCTATTCCTAAGAAAAAGATATTAACAGAACCTGTCATCGAAAAATACCAATTTGTTCCACACTTTGATATGGGAGAAAAAGATGTATGTTTATATACGATAATTCAAAATATATTCATTTTAGTATTGGTATGTAATGTGAAACCTTTTGTTGTAGCTTTCAGTAATCGCACGTATCAACGCTCAACTGATATTGGAAGTGAAAAACGAAGTGAAAGTGAAATTGGTAGAATATCATCAACCCAATACAAAGCCTTTCATCACCGAGATGGTGAACGCATTCGGTGATTTGCCCTTAGTGAGAACAGAAGCTACAATTATATCTGATTCAACGCAACAGGAACTGAACCTTGGTAACGGAATTACTATTCTTGAGAGGAAAGCAAAGCGCGATAATGGACACTTGATTTATATTGGAAGAAATCTTCTCAACGACAGACAAGTAAGCTTCCAATAATTTTCATTTCAATTCATACAAATGGAGTAATTATTTATATATTTACATATTTTCTCTCCTACGTGTTTATTAACAAACTATCTGAATGCATTAAGTGCAAATAATTAAATATTTAAATTTTACCCTTTATTTTAAAGCAACTCAACGAGGCTCTCGCTGCAATCGTCCAAGACGGCTTCATAATCAGTTTAGAAAGCAAAGATGCAACAACAGCGCCTGAAGGATTGCAAATAATTACATCTCAAAAAGATGGAAAAGAAAATATTATTGTATTGAATAGAGTCAAAGAGTTAGAAAAACCTGTTACGGTAGAAATAAGAAATGATGACGTTAAATTCAATTGGGTGCTTACTCTTCAAAAGCTTATAACTACCGAGAAAAATATCATTCTGTATTCTCAAGAACAACCAACTAGCGGAATATTAGGATTGGTAAATTGTCTGAGAAGAGAACCTGGTGGAACAGTAATTAGATGTGTCTTTGTTCTTGATACAAATACTATTAAATTTAATGTGGATCATGCGATGTATAAAAAGCAACTGGACTTAGGATTGCCCATAAACGTTTTCCAATATGTGAGTAAGACAAATAAATTCATTATCTAGCATTTGACAAAAAAATGAAAGTTCGTATATGTATATCTCTTTGGTAGAAATAATTTAAAAAATAGTTTAGGTGGTCCGATTAAAAATAAGTCTAAACAACCGTAGTGCCAAAATTAAATTTATTTTTATGTGTCAATCACTAACAAATAGATATTCAAATTCAAGTTTTTTAAAATCTCGTTCGTTAAAAGTAAAAAAGTAAAGAGTAGACTATTAAAGTTTTTTAGTTTTTTTTTTTCAAAAATATATTTAAAATTAATAAATTGCGAAAAATAAGTTTAAATGCCAGAGCGAATTTGATTTCGTACGTCAACATTTTACTTTATTACTAACTATCCTTTCAATATATCTATTATTTAAATTAATTTCCGCATTCAACAGGGTAAATGGGGTTCATACCGTCATTTATTGCTAGAGAAATCGCCTTTAGTCACTGTAGAATATGCTCATGTCAACAATCTTGTAAGAGCAGATTTATCAACTTTGAGTTGGATTCAAGGACCTCTTAATTCTAACACGAAGGTTTTACCCAATCAAGAGTTTATTCAGGTATAAAAGAAATGCAATAATCCCTCATGATACAATAATCAAATGCTCTATCGTAATGTCAATTTACATTTTTTTTTAAATATTATTCAGATTTATTATTCAGCTTTGAATTTCCGCGATATTATGTTAGCGAGTGGTAAATTAAGTAATGATGTCGTGGGCTACAGTAGATTAACACAGGAATGTGTCCAAGGATTCGAGTTTTCTGGAAAAACTAAAGAGTAAGTTTGGTTATACATTTTGTTAATTTTTATTTTCTTAGTCATTCTCAAGATTAAGATCCCTTATGAAATCGTAAAAAATTAAAAATGATTTTTTTAATATTATAACGTCTCTATGATGATTGATCTGATCACCTTGACATATCATCAGCATTTTTAAAGTAAAAAAATTCTGAGAATTTTCAAAGTTTTTTTTTTATATTTGTGTATAAAACGGAAAGTTTCTTCAAAGTACGACTAATTCTAAGTTGAACTGGAAATTGGTTTAATAAAAATCAATGTTATTTTAGAGGACGTCGCGTAATGGGAATGGTCCCAAGTCAGGCCCTAAGTACTGCTGTGCTTGCTGGCAAGGAATTATTATGGGATGTTCCAGAAAATTGGTCATTAGAAGAAGCGGCCACAGTTCCTGTCGTTTACGCTACTGCTTATTACGCTATGGTATGTTTTAAAAAAAAGGATCCAAATTTTAGTTTCACATTTAGAATTGAATAATATATTTTAATTCAAAAGTTATGAACTTCTCTTATATCAGTACGAAACCGTAAACCAATTAAATTATTTCGTTAAATCGTCACAAAATATTCTAAATTATACATCGAAGTGCTAAAAAATAAGTAAGTTAATATTATAACTTTTTTATAAATTTTATTTATTTTTATAAGCTAGTGCGGGCGCCAAAACTAAATATAATTTTTAAATATTGTTATTTTTTGCAAAAAACTCTGAAAATTTAATGTTCATACGCTATACTAATTCTTAGCCATCCAATGACATTATCTATTATTGAGCTTGCTATTATTGATATTATTCAATTTCTCAATTAAATTCAAAATTTCCAGAAAAAGAGGTAAAGTGTTTGCTTAGTTAGAAATTTCTTTTTTACTTTGAGACTAAAACTCAAAGTCGTCTTTGAATGCTCATATGATAATATGAAAACATAAATTCAGTTAAAAAAAATTAAATCTGGGTTAGAAATCTGATAATTTGATTAACGTATGCCATGTATTTATTTTTCTTCAGAAAGGATTTTCAACAAAATGTTCACACAATAAAATAATTACATTCTCAAGATATTGCGATGTCAATAATATATACTATCAGTGAATAAAAAATATTGAATGAGTTCATTGAGTTGCTCTTTGTCTTTATGCAGCTTCGTATAATAAATTATAATTAAAAGGAACCCATACATCATGAGTTACATAAACACACACATGCACACACACACACACACACACATATATATATATATATATATATATATATATATATAAGGTAAAGCAGGGCACAAAAGTCCGATTTGACTTTGAGCAATTATATTATGAAAACAAAACCAATTATATAACAACTAATAACACAAATCAAGCGAACAACTAACGATTTAGTTCAGTAAAACTCCCACCTAATCATTGTAGAAATGGGTTTATTGTTATTTTCCAAAAATTTGTAACCTGATCGTTTTTACCTCATAGGCGGGGTGAATTGAGACGGCTAGAGGACAAACAATTCTAATGTATTTTTTAATTTAATTAAGGGATTTTAAAATGTAATAGCTAAATTATTCACTCAATGCTAAATATAAATTTCGTGGGTGCATTTTTTGCAGAGATAACACAGTGAATGACCTCGATCTGGTATTTCGTTAGAAATATTCATCAGCAGTTTTGAAATAATTATTTACTTAATTTATCTTTCTATAATAGCTTTGTTTCAACTCAATTTACTTTTTTATTTTTTAATATAAATTGGGTAAAGTTGGGTAAAAAGGACCAACTGACCCTGGCATTACAACTTTGCCAGGGTCAGTTGGTCCTTTTTACCCAACCCAGATGTAAGCTTTTATAGAGTTTATATAAAAAAGTGTCGAATATAACTTAAAATAAACAATAGATGTTATAAAATATTTAAATAGAGTATACTTAAATTTTATATATAACCACAAACCACAAATACAACGAAAAAAAATTACTTTATTATAGATTTTCAAACATTGCCGTTTATCTCCTGATAGCGATGTAGTAAAAATCAAGGTGATGGCTGGACATACATCTTTTTGTCTCTACTTTCAACTTTTGTTGAAGAATTCTTAACTTTATTGATTTTTGAGATATCGGTATTGGACCTGTTTACCCGCCTTTAAGCCTTATATATGTGTGTAAATACACACACACACACACACACACACATATATATATATATATATATATAATTATCTTTCACGTCACTTTTGATCATCATTAAGCAGTTCTAAAATATGTATACGTGAACAACATTGAACATAGCAATGAAACACTTCGTATTACCAATTTGTATTAATTGTAAGTCAATAGTAAAATGTATATAAATGTTTTACAGGTCCTGGTCGGAAACATGAAACGCGGAATGAAAGTTCTGATACATGCTGGAAGCGGTGGTGTCGGCCAGGCCGCAATCAACATTGCCTTGAACGGGGGATGCGAAGTTTTCACGACCGTCGGAACACCAGAAAAAAGAGATTTTATTAAGCGACAATATCCGCAAATCGACGGTATAAATTATCGTTATACATTATACACCATTACTGAAAATTTCTTCTATATATCACTACCGATTAGAGATGAATAACTCACTCCGGAGTTATCACTCCAATACAACTCCTCCCTCGGAGTAAATCCGAGTGGAGTTGTTTCACAGGATTTGTCATACCCGACTTCCTTGAACTGGTATTAAACCTGTTAACTCGTACAGGCATTTAGTGTTTTTGTCGTTTTTGCTTTGGGAAGGAAGCGGTCACTTTCTTGTCCCGCAGGCAGCTTTATGACCTTTTTTAGGTATAAAAGTCAAAATAAATACCATTGTGTATTTTCCAGAAAATACAAAAATGTTACTTTAAAGATACAGAACAATGAAATTGTATTCAAGTGTGAATAGCTCAAATGTATAATTTATTGAATAGTAAGGGGTGATATTTCTAACTACGACAATCTTTGGCCGTAAATGACGGCAATCAGGAATATACATACCGAAAAATATACGAAACGAAATACATTTATTTAATCTTGTTTTTCCATAGCCTGAAATAACAACACTTTAGAGTACAAAATTTATCAGTGATATCATTAGTATTTAAGCAGTAAAAAATATTCAGTATTATATTATTACTTTCACACAATTATATAATTTTGTAAAAGTAATAATATGCTAATCAAACTACGCAATATAATATTAATTCTCAAATGAAAATAGCAGAAGAAAAATTTTGAAAGCAGGAGTATTATGTTTTGCTTTTATCACAAAGTTTACTACATAATTTTTATATAAAATTAATCCAAAAAATCAATTATTTTCTCATCAAAAGGAAATCATTAAATTGAATTTGATTCTCATGTTTTGCGTTTTTACTTTGGTCAACACTGCTAAAAATACGAGTCACTGAGTCGATCATCTGGCCGACCGAAAAATTTTACAATCCGTCATTTTATCATGAATTTTTTAGAAAAATTATTTTATAGATAATTATTCATAAATTTTTATTTCAAATAATTAATGGGATTTGACAAATCCTTAGATACATAAACAGCATACTATAGAACACATTTGTTTCGTGTATTTCGGTTTCAAAATTGTCGGAGTCGTAACTCCACCATAAAGCGGAGTCAAATCCGAGTCGATTCGGCTTCGGATATAATAAGCCCATCTCTACTATCCATTAATAAAATTAATTAAAGAATAGTGAAAGGATGGATAAAGTATTTTATACATTTGAGAATAATGGAAATTATCATATTGCTTTTATTAATGTACAAAAATATTATATTATTAATAAAAGTGTTTAAATAACGATTATAGATGCCCACATTGGAAATTCGCGTGACACAACCTTCGAACAGCTTGTGTTAGCTGGTACCAAAGGCAAAGGAGTCGATATGGTATTGAACTCATTGGCCGAAGAAAAACTACAGGCTTCTGTAAGATGTTTGGCAAGAGGCGGTAAATTTTTGGAAATCGGTAAATTTGACTTGGCTAATAACAACCCGCTAGGTATGGGCACCTTCCTTAGAGAAACATCCTTCAATGCAATTATGCTGGACAATTTATTCCATGACCCCGATGTAGAATTGACCAAGGTAATCATGTGAATAAAACTAGCTGTAAGTGGAATTCTGTCTTAAGGCAATTAGGGCATCGTGCCTTAAGGCAAATTGCTGGAACTTCCCGTACCAAAAATTATTATTTTTTTTAAAAACGATTAAAATTGAAAAATTGAAAAAAAATTACTTCGAAAAAATAAGATTTTTGAGAAACTATAAATTGGACAAAAAATTACTTTTTTTTGAAAAAAAAAATTTTTAAAAAAAAATTTTTATTTTTAAATTTTTTTTTTTTAAAAAAAATGTTTTCTTTATTTTGACATATTTTGGAAGATCTGAACTTGTTTTTCAGAGCAATCGTACTGCTTTAACTGCATAGAGACAAAATATAAAGCGCGTAAGCGCCGCGTCGCTGTCTAACGGAAAAACATTGGTACGGAACCCATAGGAATGTAAACAAAACTTATACTTATTGTTAAAATCTCTATAAAACATCTGAAAATTTGATGTGCATATGTCTAATGATCATTTTTGACCGCCAAATGGCATTTTTTTTCACTTTTTTTGTTATATCTCCGAAACCGCTAGACCTGCCTTTATGAAGATTTGATCAATTCTTTATCTTGTCAATACAAGTAAAATGTTTTTTGAATTATTAAAATCGGACGCTCCGTTCTCTTAAAAACTGAGTTACCGTTTTCGGCACTTTTTGCCCCGTATCTCCGGAACGGCTAGACCTGCCTTCGCCAAAAACTAATCAGCACGTCTCCTTATCAATACGAATCGAATGTTTTTTGAATTATTCAAATCGGTTGATCCGTGTTCCCGAAATCGTCGACGAAAATTTGTATCCGCACATACATACACACACGCACACACACACACACACACACACACACACACACACATACATCCATTTTTTCTAAGGTATGCCAAAATATTCAGAAACCTCTGAAACGTAAAGATATATAAAAATTTTTTTTTGCGATTACTATAACTTACCCTACGGGAAGTTAATAAAATGGCAATTTGTCATTCTATTTTATAAAATATAATATAATATAGCAAATTTCAACGCTATGCTATTTAATGATATAATGTCCAACAGTTGAAATAATAAAATTGTGTTTCCACAGAAACTAAGAGATCTTCTTTATTCTGGAATCAAATGTGGAGCAGTAAAGCCTTTGCCAACAACGGTTTTCAAAGAAGATGAAGTTGAAAAAGCATACAAATTCATGGCACAAGGAAAACATATTGGAAAAGTTTTAGTCAAAGTTCGAGATGAAGAACCAGCAAATCTTAGAAATCGCCCACCTGTTCCACGAACCATAGAAGCTATTAGAAGGTAAGTGAAATTCATTAATCTACTTTAATGTTAAATTGATGTTAAATATTAATATTATAATATAAATAATTCTTTTCAATAGATTTGGTTGTGAACCCAATCACTGTTACGTTGTTTGTGGAGGATTAGGCGGATTTGGGTTGGAGCTTATTGACTGGTTAGTTATTAGAGGTGCCAGAAAAATTGTGATTACATCAAGAAGGGGTATAACCGATGGTTATCAATCTACCAGAATTCAAGTCTGGAAAAACTATGGGGCTACTGTTGTCGTAAAGTCAGGAGATTTCACTTCAGAAAAGGGTAGGGAAACATATTTATTTGATTTTATTTATTTTCATACTTAATGTAAATTTCCAATGATTATTACCAGATTAAAATACTTATTAATAACCACATTGAACACGATGATAATTAAAAGTAATAATACAATCAATGTATACTAATTTTAGGAGCATGCGATCTGCTGAAAGAATCAGGAAAATTAGGTCCAGTAGTAGCTATATTTAACTTAGCTGTAATACTGAGGGATGCAATTCTGGAAAATCAAACCGTAGAAACATTTGAGGAATCATTCAATCCAAAAGCAAAATACACACTTGCACTTGACAAAGCATCCAGAAGATATTGTCCACAACTTAAGTAAATATCAAAATTTTAATATTGTTCTTTGATTTATAATTATTATTTTTTTAATATCTTTTTAGGCATTTTGTAGTATTTTCATCAGTCGTATCAGGAAAGGGTAACGGTGGCCAATCTAATTATGGTTTTGCAAACTCGATTATGGAAAGAATATGCGAGCAAAGACGACTAGATAATCTACCTGGATTGGCTGTCCAATGGGGAGCAATAGGAGAGGCAAGTGACATTTAACAATATTTTATTCCTATCAATTGATACTAAGAAAAATATTTATTTGCAACATCTATTGACTTTTGTATCAAATATTGAAGTCATTTTATCATTAGGTTGGTTTGGTAGCTGAAATGCAAGAAGCTTACAAAGAAGGCGACGTATTTGACCTAGAAATTGGAGGCACCTTGCAACAACGCATTGCAAGTTGTTTGCAGGTTCTGGATGACTTTTTAACAAACCCAGACACACCACCTGTAGTATCGTCCATCGTTGTTGCCGAGAAACGCGAAAGTGATTTGGGAACGACTATTCTAGAAGTTATAGGAAATTTGTTAGGTAAAATACATTAATGAATGTATTAGACTGTCGAAAAATCAACTTTACAAGAGTAAACTTTTACACAAATTTATTTCTTTTAGGTGTTAAAGATCCAAAATCAGTGGGAATTCATACAACACTATCAGATTTAGGAATGGATTCCATGACAGGAGTTGAAATTAAACAAGCACTGGAACGAGAATTTGAAATATTCTTATCACCAGCTGAGATTAGACATTTGACATTTGGAAGGTATTGCAAAAACCAAAGACTTATCCGAATACATCCTCTATAAGATTGACTTTAATGCGATTGATCTAATTAATAAAAAATTAATAAAATGTTAAAAAGCATTTTTGTGATATGCCTTTATGATTGCTAGAAAACTCTATCATTTACTCGGAATATAATCATTATTAATAAATGATAATTTATACACCATGGTAACCCTGTTTCCATGCTTTTTATTCATCAAGAATATAAATGAAGCTTTTTAATCACCTGCGAGTTAACGAGTCTTTACCTCTTTAACTAAGCTTTTAAATTTATCATTTATATTATTATTTTTTCAGATTGAAGGATATGTCTGACCAACGCGAAGCTAAAATGTCCGTTAATGTTGATGTAGATGCAAAAGATGTGAAATTAGAAGATATAGGAATCTACATGAAGAAAATAGAGGATGAGTTAATAGCTTGCAAACCAGTTGTCCGCTTACCTAGCAAGGCCGATAACGGAAAAGAGGTAAAATAAATTTTCCAAGAGGTCCCGGGTTCGATACCCACTTCAAGCAGCCTGTTGTCAGGCAACATTGACAACGATTTTCACTTGGAAATATAGACAGCAATATGTTTCCAAGTGAAAATAGCCCTCACCCGGCATTGCCGCACCAATAAAAATACTCGCCCTATTACAGAAATTGTAATAATAATTTATCATACAGAGATGTGACAACTGTTTGGGTTGCCATCTGTCAAACAGACTAGTATTAGGTTGTCAAATATCTCCCTTCCGCTTTTGTGCTCTTGGTTTATAATACAAAAAGGCGGAAGGGAGATATTTGACAACCTATATATTAAGTCAAAATCAGCACAACAGCTTATAGGACTATTAGGATCTGATTGCTGTTCAAATATAATGAAAAAAATGATAATGATAATAATTAAATTCAAGTATGTAGATAATAATGAATTTTAACTTTTATCCTTAAGGTTTGTCATAGATCATAGTTTTCTAACAAAACATCAATTGTGATACTATTTTTCAATATATTCTTTCGATAATCAATTTATTAACTTTGGTCTAATTTCTGTCTAAAATAACAAATATCTTCGAATTATTAATAATTATATTTCTCTATAATTCTGTTACCTTTTTTTAACAGACTGAAGACTCGAACGAAGCTATATTCTTTATTCCTGGTGTAGAAGGTGTAGCTTCTACTATGAAACCTTTAGCTGCTAATCTCGAAAAGCAAGTGCTTGGTCTTCAAATGGGTCATGAAAGTACAACTACAATCGAAAATGCAGCTAAGCATTTATACACGGTAAATATTAAAGAAAATATAATTATAACAAAAGCGTCGAATAATAGACTTGAAATTGATGCAAACTCACTGTTGTATTCCAGCTAATGGCCCCTCGTCTAAGAGGTCGCAGCACATTCCACGTGGTAGGCTATTCCTTGGGAACGACCGCAGCGCTGGAATTATGTAGATTGTTAGAAAGCGCTGGTTACAGAGGACGGCTTACGTTCCTGGACGGCGCTCCAGATTTCATCAGGCGCCTGGCAAATACTCATTTCGCAGTGGCTGAAGAAGAACGATTCCATGACACTATTTTATTGACCATCATTCAGGGCATCCAGCCTCAAGAAGTGCCTAGAATGCAGGTATGGAAATAAAAAATAATAATCATTTATTTAAAATAATATAAATTATATCTATTTATTTCGAATATAAACTCAATACCGTACAAACAATTTTTTAACTCAAATATTATCGGATAATTATGAATACTTGCCAGGATCAGGTACAAAATACAATTAAAATTAAAACCAATGCTTAAACTTCAGAATTATCGATCAAATGATTTAAAAAAAACTATAACATTAATACATACACACTGATACAATCCTTCAACTTTTTTTTCTAAAGCCATTTACAGTGATAATTTATTAAAAATAGTACTATTCATATAAATACTATAGAGGTAGTTGAATCAATTTGAAATAGTGATTCATCATCTTTGTGTTTCTAACAAATGAAAACTTTATTTAAAATTTTCGATGATTTTTTTGTATTATTAAATATTCTTGGTCTATGGTAAGACCTGCCATAAAATAATCTATAAGTAATATTATAAGTATTATTAATAATATATAAAACATAGAACCCTATACTATAACATACCAGATAATTTTAATCAAAATTAGATACAAATTTAAATTAAAATCAATCAAATTTAATATATGGATTTGAAACTACATAATTATAAAATATTCTAATAAAGCCTTGTTTTTGCTTAGACATTACTACCTACTTTCAAAACTTGGGAAGAAAAAGTTGAGTTACTCCTGTCTTATACTGATGATGAAGGTATCAAAGAATATCAAAGAAGAGCTATTAATGAATGTAAAGCCAGAATTGAGGCTGTCATTGAATACAATCCAGAAAATGGACAGAAGAGAAGGATAGAGTCAAAGGTAATATTTAAATTAAAAAACATATTTTCATAAACATAAACTTACTAAAATGTACAAAGTATTTAAGTAAATCGATTATATTACTTATTGTTACAAGTACTGCATTTTAAAGACATTGATGCCCAAACTAAAAGCGAAAATATACGCATAGGAATGCGAACCATTCATACGAAAGAATTATAATTATATAGCATAGAAAGCTGTATTGGTCGATTTTTTCGGTCGCCTATGCTTTGATTATTTAATTGTTGGAAAACTATTGATTAAAAATGTTATTGGCACTTTTCGTAAATTAAGATTTTACGTAACCAGTTAACTAAGATTGGCGAATATAATCGTCATAGAGAAATGGCAGAATTTTGTGTATTGATGAGTGTACACTGATCAATAATAAATGGCGAATAAATCTTCGACCATTGACTATTTAGATTGCAACATTGCAAAAAATAAATAAAACATATTCTCAAATTTCAAGATACTCAGAATATTTTGAAGCTATGCCAAAATGAAATAAACTAGCTGGTATTGGTATTTTGCCTTGAGTCAAGTTACATGAACTTCCCGATATGTGTAAATAATCGACTTAATCAATAAAAAATGAATTAATTTATGAGTGATTAAAAGTATTCCAAGTGGATTTACTACACATAATTGAAAATGAACGAACACATTAACTCGGAGTACTTTCTCAAAGCAAATTTTCACAAACTAATAATTTTTATAATTGATCCAATTTCCGTAGGACTTTAATGGTTTAGTATGTTCATTAAGACCAAGTACTCTATCGTTATACCAAGTAAATCGTCTAATATTAATTTTAACAAACGTCGAAAAAACTACTCATTTTTTCAAACTTTGATATATTCTTAAAATTAAACTGTTTGTCGTAAGGCCGTAATATTTCAGTAAATTCTACAAGACCATGACATATATCGCAAAAAAGTTCCATAAAAATCGGCTTAAATTTTTTCTCAACAGTTAAATACAAGAAAACGGCTCGGTAGATTTTCACCTAAAACTAATCATTCCCAACTAATATCTTTCGAACAGATTTTTTAAATCGATTCGGTAGTATGAGCTTAAATGTAAACAAAAAGTTTTACACTTTTTTCCAAATTACAAAGAAACAGCTCGGCCGATCGCTGCACAAAACTGAGTAAACATAATCCACATCAAAATACATCGATTGGCTTTTGAATTTTTGAAATCGGTTCAGGGGTTTTAGGGCAAACGTCGATGAAAGTTCTAATTTTGACAAACGCCAAAAAAACGATACTAATTTTTGCAAAATTTGACGAATTTTTGAAATTTAACGTCTTGTCGTAGGACTGTAATATTTTAGTATGGTCTATAAGACTATGGTATCTACCGTGAAAAAAAATCATAAAAAACATCGATTTTTTTTTAACATTTTATTACGAGCAGAAAACGGGCTTTTAAATTTTTGAAATCCGTCCAGCCGTTTTTGAGAAAACTTTTTCCAAATTTGGTCTCATTCGATTCAGAATGGCTTGAAAGGTCGAGAAAATATAAACTTAGCGAATCGGATTTTTTTATGAAAACAAACTTCTCCTTCGGGAAGTTAATAATTGTAAGTGGCAGTTTATCGTAAAACAACATTTTACCTCGACTTTGACGATATAAAACTTTATACACAATTCAATGAAAGCACCACAGTTAACTAGTTAATATAAACAAATTATCTATCTAATTACCTTTCTTTACATCCCAGGTAACCTTGATCAGACCCAAAGCAATTCTTCTCCCTGACATGGAAAAGGATTATGGCCTTTCTCGGTTGTGTGCTCATACACCAGAGGTCTACTTCATCAATGGTGATCATCGTAGTATGCTGGAGCAGCAGGAATGCGCAGAAATAATCAACAGAATGGAAGCAGAGGTGCAAGATAGCCAAACTGGTAAAGCATTCAGCAACGCTACTGTATTAATAAATAATTCCCAAGAAGTCACCACCAACGGCGACAAAGGAAAGAACTGAATAGGACGGAATATCATCTACCGGACGGCCGATACACCATTTATAGTACCAAATACGTTTAAATAGTTTTGTCAAATTTCTTACAACTTATCAATTGCTATTGAACCTATGAATCGAATGAAAAAAGTCTAAAACTTTTTTTCTTCTCTCTATAATATTCTTTTTAAAAAGCAAGATGCCAAATTCATTCATGATTCACCACTCAAAATCAAATCAACACACAGACAGCTAAAATTTTACCATTATCATTTTAATTTATTTTAAAGCAATGCTATTATATTTCATTATAAATTTCTTCATATTTTGTTTTTGTCAATAACTTTTATTATTAAAAATATTTTAAATTTACAAGAAGAAGAATTCTTGCTTTAAATCGATAGATCAATATATTCAGTTATTAACAAAGATCAAATTCACATTTCTGGGTTTCAAAAAAAATGTTTCCTTTTTATTTAATATAAATAGGTTAATACAATAGCCTTTCAAATATTAGTAAAAATTTATTGGGTTTTACGTATATTTAAAAATGACCTTTTTAAAATCATGTAAGTTGTCTTTGATTATATAAAGTTATATAAATTCATATAAATAAATTTGATTATATAAATTCATAGAACCATTTATAAAATTGTCATTTAGTTATAAATTTAATTATTAGAAATATAAAATTGGATAATTTAAACTAATATATGAAAAAATTAAAAAAAGGTATTATTGGTATTTAGTAATTTATGTAATTTATTTTAGTTTTGGAGTAATCATATTTTTTTCATCACCATGCATGAAACATAACTTGAAAAATAAACGGATCATGAATTAACATATGTTTTATTTTAGTAATGTGTATACTTAGAATTTGAATCGAAATGTTAATTTTTTTATATTAATTTATTAATTTAGTAATGGGGCCTTAGTGGCATAGTGGTTAGTGTGTAGGTAACGAACAATCCTGATATCGAGCAGTAGCGATATCAATATTCACTTGAGAATGTAGACCTTAAATATGTTTTCAAGTAAAAATAGCCTTTTCCGGGTATTGCTACAACAAATTGGATAATATGTCAACCCTATTATTACATAAATTCTAAAAATAAAGTATCCAAATATAGATAGATCAACCGTTGGATTACCATCTAAAAAATACGACGTAGAAAGAGTTTCAGCCCAACAGCTTATAAGACATAAAAGTTCTGATTGCTGTTAAAATATGATAAAAAAAACATTGTAATGGCATAAACATTAAATTTTCGAATAAAATCTCGTAAGATTATTTATTCAGTTTAAAATTAAAAATCATTCTCATTGTTTGAAGATCCAAATATTTATTAAATCAATTTTTCCTAATGTGTATCAAAATGATCAGTAGCTCTAGAAAGGAAAAAGTGAAGGATTATTTATTTATAAAATGCAAAAGAATAATGAGTAAAAACTGACCAAATAATAATATTATATAAAAAGCAATTAGATACTTCAAATTACGCAGTTAAAAGCAAATAACTGTTTAATAATTTAAAGTATTATCCAAAATATCTAATACAACATCGGTTTGCTATGTAGAATAAACAAAGTAACAGTTAAATCAATAAGGTGCGCACGAAGTGTCTCTTATGTACCTAATTTCCAATTTGAAAACCGTTTAGTTCAAACTTAAAATTTATTAATGTTTTCGTTGCTGGTATTCAGAACAGACATTGTGACGAGACCTCATTGCGAGGACGCCAAATGAATTGGAACATAATATTATTGAGAGTGTTTGTTACACTTTCGTGGCTAGAACTCTAATTAGATATTAATGAAACCAGTAATGATTAATATAGTTATATTAATTAAATACGAATAAATTAATTAAAAAAACTACATTAATAATTTTTTTTAACAAAAACAATTCCACAATTCAACATTTAGTACGATGACCACAAGTCTCAGATTTTTATAGAAGTTTCATTTGTCACGGATAATTCAGTGTTGAATTCCATTAAACAACACTGCAATAATAAAATTTAATAAACATTTTAATAAAGATGTATACATCTTTGTTTTTTAGAATTAGTTTTAACAGCAATCAAATCTCAAGAGCTACGCGGCTTGTAAACAATTTTTATTATTAGAAGTTCTCTAATAATTAACTTCCCATAAGTTATGGTAATCGCAAAATAATGAAAATGACTAGTGATAATAAGGGAACTTCCCGTACCAAAAATTATTTTATTTAAAAAGATTAACATTTTTGAAAAAAATTTACTCTGAAATAATTAGATTTTTGAGAAACTATAAATTTTTGACAAAAACTTACTTTTTTTGAAAAAAAAAAAAGACTTTTTGAAGAAAAATTTATTTTGACATATTTTGGAAATTCTGAACTTTTTTTCAAAGCAATTGTGCTGCTTTGCATAGAGACGAAATATCGAAGCGCGTAAGCGCCGCGTCTCCGTCTAACGAATAAACACTGGTACGGAAGCCATAGGAATGTAAACAAAATTTATACTAATTGTTAAAATCTCCATAAAATATCTGATAATTTGATGTGCATATGTCTAATGATCATTTTTGACCGCCAAATGGCATTTTTTTTACTTTTTTTACTAGATCTCCGAAACCTACACACACACACATACACACATACATCCATTTTTTCTAAGGTATGCCAAAATGTTCAGAAGGTTTGGAAACGTAAAGATATATAAAAAGTTTCATTTTCGATTTTTTTGCGATTACTATAACTTGCCCTACGGGAAGTTAAAAATGTTTCTATATTTATACGTTTCATACGATTCTCAACATTTTGGAAGAAAAAATTATGTACGCGTGTGTGTGTGCGGATACAAATTTTCGTCAACAATTTTGGGGACATGGATCAACCGATTTGAATGTTTCGTTTCGTATTGATGTGGAAACGTGCTCATTAGATTTTGGCAAAGGCAGGTTTAGCCATTTTGAAGATACGGGGAAAAAAGTTCAAAGAATTGCAATACAGTTAGAATAGTTATTGACTTGATTACGACCACAATATACATACTTCTGATTTCTACATACTAAAATATTACGCACTGAGCATCAATGCGTGTATTGAATCTGCTAGCTCTCATATAAATTATTATTACTGACAACTTCTTAGTTATTAGTTCATGGCAAATTATCAATAAATTGCAAGTCATAATATACAGCATTTTTCCGCTTCTATTATTTGCTTATCTTTCGTTCCAGATTGACATCCGGCTATTGATTAGTGTATATATACAATAATTTATATACATACATATTGAAATGAATAAAACAGCCAATGCGTCGAATGTAAACAATTTAATTTATTTTTTATACGTTTCGAGACTAGATGTGTCTCATCATTCAGCTAAAAGAAATTTACAATATAAAGAAAAGGTTTCAAAAAAATGAATTTATACAATGGAAAAATTAATTGAAAAAACAACAAATTATACACACCAGATCAGGAAAAACCCACTTTACTAAAACATTTTACAACACCACAATCACATGACACTACTGTAGGAAAACAAAAATAATTTACGAAAAGACCGAAAAAGGTAGATGTAAAAATGTATAAAATACATAATTATTTGTTTTCAAAGCATAGCAACACGAATGGACTAAGAATGCGTCGAGAGACGTGTAGACGGCTATGCGACCAACACGCGTGCATGTGGGAAGGGATATCAGGGGTGTAGTATGGCGTCAGATTTACAGAAATTAATTATATTTTGATAACTTTCTGAGATTAAGCTAGAAGAACTGCGTTTGTTAACACAATTAGAATGTAAAAAGATGAAACATGATTCGGAAAATCTTCTAAGGTCTACATTTTTTTCTTTATATAAAATTATAGGATGGTCAGTATTAAACGAATGTTTGAAATTAATAATGTGCTCAGAAAACATTGTTTTAAATTGTCTAGGGTTTTTTGAATTATAAATATGTTGATTCATTCTCTTGCTAATGTATTGGGAACTTTCACCGATATAACAACTGTCACAATCTAAACAATTAATTTTATAAACGGCATCGGTGATTCGGTCAGACGGAGATTTTGATTTTAAGGTAGAAAACAGGGAACTGAGTGTGTTATCAAAAGTGAAAACTAAAAGAAAACCTTCAACAGAAAAAAGTTTTTTTAAAAAATAAGAAAAACTACCCAAATAAGGTAAACAAATAATGCCTTTATATTTGCTAAATAAAGAAGAAGAATTTGAATCGGCAGTAAAATATTTTTGAACAACGGAAGTGACATTATTATTATCAATATGGTAACGTTTAAAAAATTTAACCTATTTTTAATTATATTATTGATTAAATGTAAAGGATAAGAGTTATTTGTGAGAATGGAGCGGACTAAATCCAAATTTTTATTCCAAAAAGTTTTATTGCTTAAAAGAATAGCTCTATCAATGAGAGAAATGATGATGGAAATTTTTACAGAACGAGAATGAAACGATAAGTAATTAATGCATCTACCGGAAGAAGTTGGTTTTTGAAACCAATCAGTTAAAATAAAATTGTTTTGGTTTCTAATGAGTTTAATGTCTAAAAAACTAATGGAATTGTCATCTTCAAACTCACAAGTAAACTTTAAATGATTGTTAAAAGAATTAAAGGAATCAAGAGTGGAGGAAATGGAATTATTTTCTAAACACAAGAGAACGTCATCAACATATCTAAAGTAAAAGAAAGGTTGAACAGAAAGTTTGGGTAGAACAAAATTTTCAAGTAACTGTAAAGTTAAATCTGCCAAAGGAGGACTGATGCTAGAACCCATAGGCATACCAAAAATCTGAGCAAAAAATTTATTGTCAAAACAAAAATATGTATTATTGAATATGAAATTTAAAATGTATTTAAACCAAAATAAATTGATAGTTGTATGTGGTCTGATGTCATTCCAACGATCCGAAATGGCATCCAACGCAAGATCCCATGGAACGTTAGTAAACAACGAAACGACATCAAAGCTTACCAAAGAAAAGTTAGACGGTATGCTTAAGTTGTTGAGATATTTTGCCAAAATAAAAGAGTTTGAGACATTAGTTTTTGATAAAATGGTGACCTTAGAGAGAATAGTACTTAAATATTTAGTTAAATTACTTAACGGTGAGTTTATGTCAGCAACTATAGGTCTTAACGGTAAATCTGCTTTGTGGATTTTTGGAAGGCAATATAATTTAGGGAAGTCTGGATGAAAAACCTTAAGGGAAAAACCTAAAGATTTGGATA